CCTCCCCTCCCTCCTCAGATCATTCCATAGGGTGGGATCCATCCCCTCCCTCCCCTCTGACCCCGCCGTCCCCGCAGCCTCCCGGGCCGACCCTGTGCGCGACATCCGCTGCGAGTTCTGCGGGGAGTTCTTCGAGAACCGCAAGGGGCTGTCGAGCCACGCGCGCTCCCACCTGCGCCAGATGGGGGTCACCGAGTGGTCCGTCAACGGCTCCCCCATCGACACCCTCCGGGAGATCCTCAGGAAGAAATCCAAGCCCTGCCTCATCAAGAAGGAGCCGCTGGCGCCCGGCCTGGAGCCCCCCAAGGCGCTGGGGGAGGACGGGCTGGACCCCAAGCCCCCGGCGGTGCCGGCCGGGAAGGTGCTGCCGGGGCTGGCGCTGTCCCCGCTGGGCGGGCGGCCGGGCAAGCCGGGGGGGGCCCTGGCGCTGACCCCCCTGGGAGCCAAAAATCCCGGAGCCTTCCTGGCTCCCAAGCGGCCGCTTCCCGACGACCGGCTGGGCCCCCACGGGGAATCCAAGCACAAGGCCTTCGGCCCCCCCGAGCTGCCCTTCAAGGCCAAGGCTCTGCACGACAAGGCCTGTGAGTGAGGGGGGGGAATTCCCGAGGGGATCCCTGCGATGGGATGGGATGGGCCGGGATGGGAAGCGCGGAGAGGGAGGGGGAGGTTTGGGATCGGGGCGGCCCCTGGGCCGGGTGAGCCTCTGGAGTGGGGGGTTCCCCTGCCAGCAGGTCCCCAGCTGGTAGATCACTGCCCCAGGAGTGATCCAGAGGTGGAAAACTGGGAATTTGGATCCCGTGGAGGATTTTAAATACCATCCCTGATTCCCATTATCCCGCAGCCTCCGAGGCTCTGGGGATTCCTGTTCCCCCTGGTGTCCCTGTCCCTCTGTGTGTCCCTGTGTCCCCCTGGCAATCCCATATCCCCCCTAATTCCCGTTATCCCGCAGCCTCCGAGACTCTGGGGATTCCTGTTCCCCCAGGTGTCCCTGTCCCCCCGTGTGTCCCTGTGTCCCCCGGCTATCCCATATCCCTCCTAATTCCCATTATCCCGCAGCCTCCGAGGCTCTGGGGATTCCTGTTCCCCCATTCCCCCTGGTGTCCCTGTCCCTCTGTGTGTCCCTGTGTCCCCCGGCTATCCCATATCCCCCCTAATTCCCGTTATCCCGCAGCCTCCGAGGCTCTGGGGATTCCTGTTCCCCCATTCCCTCAGGTGTCCCTGTCCCTCTGCGTGTCCCTGTGTCCCCCTGGCAATCCCATATCCCCCCTAATTCCCGTCATCCCGCAGCCTCCGAGGTGTGCTGTGAGCCTGTCCCCTATCCCATGTCCCATATAACTCCCATTATCCTGCAACCTCCAAGGCATCCTGTGAGCCTGTCCCGTATCCCATATCCCATATCCCATGTAATTCCTGTTATCCTGCAGCCTCCAAGGCATCCTGTGAGCCTGTCCCGTATCTCATATCCCATATAACTCCCATTATCCTGCAACCTCCAAGGCATCCTGTGAGCCTGTCCCGTATCCCATATCCCATATCCCATGTAATTCCTGTTATCCTGCAGCCTCCAAGGCATCCTGTGAGCCTGTCCCGTATCTCATATCCCATATCCCATGTAATTCCTGTTATACTGCAGCCTCCAACGCATCCTGTGAGCCTGTCCCGTATCTCATATCCCA